TGAAATAGCAGACGTAAAACCTCTCTCTGTCTCTCTCTATAAATCTCACTCTCTTTGTCCCTATAATTCGCCCTTCAAATAAAATAATAAAAGTAAACCTTTTAGGGCTTCTATACCAGCCAACATTACCAGTGGCTGACAAGAGGGGCAGCAGGCAGTGAAGCCTCCTCAGGAGCAGACCAGAGCATGGCGAGATCTGTACCCAACCGCAGGCTCAATGCTTGGCGGGCTGAGCGTTCCAGAGGCATCACATTGCATTAGGGACATATGACAAGGAGTCTGAGAAAGGCCCAGAAGAGGCCTACAAGGATAAAGTACTGCTTTACAGGTATTTCCTCAGTACATACTGTACAGCACATCACTGACAAACTGGTGACAAACCTGCATTTGAGGAGTATTATTGTAAGAATAAATCAGTAAGAACACACCAACAGCCAACCCACAGTAACCATGACTTGGGGGCTGTCCAGTGCTGAAATAGCTGAACGATCCACAACTCAGAGAAAAATAAGCACACCCACAGAATATCTAGAACAACCACAAAAGAAACAAGATTACAACTAATCCTTCAAGTGAAGGCAACACTTTATATTAACAAGCAACAATAACTTCCAGTGAACAATCTCACCTAAAGGGCAAAATACAGTGCCTGATACCAATCACCTGGAAACTGAAATTTCCAAACACTTGGAGGAAGATTTCGAAATAGCTGTTTTAAGAGAACTCAATGAAATTCAAGAGAACATAGAAAGATGACTCAAAATCCAACAGAGAGTTGATAGAGAAGTGGAAGTAATTAAACAAAGTCAAGCAGAAATCTTCTAACCTAGAATACACAGTGAAATTAAAAATGTGATAGAAGGGGTTGCTCTGTATTCTAGCTGCTCTATTTCCCAGCTTCCTGTTAATACACGTAGAAAAATAGTGGGCGATAACCCAAGCACCTGGGCACTGTCACATGTTAACCAGGGATGAAATCCTGGCTCCTACCTTCAGCCTGGGACCAGTTCCAGGCCTTGCAGACATCTGGGGAGTGAACCAGAGAACAGAACACTTTCTTTCTCTCTCTCTCTCTCTCTCTCTCTCTCTCTCTCTCTCTCTCTTTCTCTTTCTCTTTCTCTTTCCCCTCCACCTCCCCATTCTGTAACCCTGACTGCCTTTCACATAAATAATGCATCTGACTGCAGATTTCTCTGAAGAAACCTTTCAGGCCAGGAGTTTATGGAATGATGCTTTCACAGTACTAAAAGCAAAAAAAAAAAATCCAAACCAGGGGCCAGACACAGTAGCCTGGTGGCTAAAGTGCTCACCTTGCACACACCGGGATCCCATATAGGCACGGGTTCTTGTTTTGGAGGCCCCATTTCCCTTCCAGCTCCCTGCTTATGGCCTGGGAAAACAGCAGAGGATAGCCCAAAGCCTTGGAGCCCTGGAACGCTGCACCCAAGCATGAGACCCAGAGGAGGCTCCTGGCTTTGGATCACCTTAGCTCTAGAGGTTGCAGCTATTTGGAGAGTGAATCAGCAGATGGAAAATCTTTCTCTCTGTCTTTCCTCCTCTCTGTCTGCCTTGCCATTAAAATGAATACACTAAAAAAAGTCTTTAAAAAACCCCAGCCAGGAATGCTGTGACCAGTAAGTATTTCCTTCAGCTATGAAGGAATAATAAAGACAATTTCAGATAAATAAAAACTGAGAGACTTATGCTAAAGGAAGTTCTTCAAATGCAAGAGACACTAACATAAGAAAGTATCAGAAGGCAGAAAACTCACTGGCATGATGCTCATTGAAAAAGGTGTGGATAAAGAAACAGTGATGCATCTACTCTATGGAATGTACTCAGCCATTAAAAAGAATGAAATTCTACCATTTGCAACAAAATGGTCTCAACTAAAGACCACTGTGCTCAGTGAAATAAGCCAATTCCAGGAGGACAAACATCATATGTTTTCTCTGATATAAGGCAAACTTCACGCAAAATACAAGATCAATGAATAAACAGGTAAACACGCATATACACACATTCATCTGGAGGAGCTGTAGAATGGAGACTAGCACTCCGAGAAATTGAGATACATTGCAGTATGCATCGCTACTCCAAAATGATGCACTCCCAAAGAAACGCTTAAATATATCCTGACAAGAGATGTTTGACGTTCCCTAATTGTCTACACCTACAATTGTCATGATACACTTAGATAGCAGAATGATGGACTTGTGACTGTTATTGAAGGGCTATACAATTGTACTAACATGGGTGGAAAAGGTGTGGCTGGGGGAGAATAAGGAAGGGTGGACTGGAAAAAACCCTGAGCCTATGGAACTGTATCATGAAAAATAACAAAAGAAAAGTCACTAGTATGAATAATTACACAAAGATATTCACAATATCCTAATGTTGCAAACATGGTATGGAAACCATCTATGTCTTTACTATAAATAATAACATATATATGGATGTAAGAAGCATTATATTCCAATGCTAAGAAAGAGGAAATGGTTAAACGGGTCAAATGTAACATCAAGAATTCAAAATACAGGGACGAATGGAATATAAATGTTCATTATTGGGATTTCTGGTTGCTGTTTTTGCCTGTCCACATATTTGTAAGTTTTTATCATTTCAAATTTGCTTGTTACATCCAAAGAGAAGTTTTATTTTGTTTTGCTTTTTGTTTTTAAGCTGCATGCTAATCATAAAGAAGGAACTTAAAACGGGGCCTGGTGTGGTGGCCTAGTGGCTAATGTCCTCGCCTTGAACATACTAGGACCCCATATGGGTGCTGGTTATAATTCCGGTAGCCCCACTTGCCATCCAGCTCCCTGCCTGTGGCCTGGGAAAGCAGTCAAGGATAACCCAAAGCCTTGGGACCCTGCACGTGCATGAGAGAGACCCGGAAGAGGCTCCTGGCTTCAGATCAGCGCAGCACTGGCCATTGCAGCCCCTTGGCGCATGAATCAGAGGACGGAAGATCTCCCTCTCTGTCTCTCCTCCTCTCTGTATATCTGACTTTGCAATTAAAAAATAATAAATCTTTAAAAAAAAAAAGAACTTAAAACAGATTTATCAAAAACAATAAGCAAGAGATCCCGCCACATGGAAGACCCAGAAACCTGGCCCAGCTCAGACCACTGCAGCCACTTAGGAAGTTAATCAGCACATAGAATAAAATGTTTCTCTCTGAATCTCAATCTCACAGTCACTCTTTCCCTGTTAGTTTGTCGTTCAAAAAGTAAAATAAATCCGAAAAAAAGAAAAATCGGTAAGGGGAAAGATAAAAGAAAAGGGAGCAAAATGAGGACAATGACAGCATGTTGTGGGTTAAACCATGCAAGCACCTGCATCCCACACAGACACCAGTTTCAGTCCAGGCTGTTCCACTTCTGATCCTGTTCCCCGTCAATGCACCCACGTGCCTGCGCAGGGGCAGGGAGCTGGGGACAGGCGGTGGGGAACACAAAGGATGCCAAATCCGCAGATGTTCCCCTGGCCGAGACCTTGCTGGCGCAGCCGCTCAGTGAGCTACGAGACGGAAGATTTCCCCCAAGGCCTCCCCCTCTTGCCACATCTCTCCATATCTCTGTCACTCTGCATTTAAACAAGCTAATAAATATTTTAAAAAGTAAAAAGGTGTATGATAGATCATACATCTCAAGTAAAATATTACTAGTTAGGGGATCTGGGAATTCTTGGTACAATTCTCACAACTTTTACGTCAGGCTGCAAATACTTCAAAATGCAAAGTAAAACAAACACGTCAGATGCCATCAGTGGGCACGGTGCTGCTTTGCGTGCCAGCACACTGCACCACCAGTTGCTCAGGAAAACCACCGGGGCATCGGGGCATCGTCACTGCCTCTTCCTGGTCCGACGAACACACCCCCGATCCGCCAGCATACTCACAAAGCTATACCTTGAAAAACATTCCAAATCAGAGTATTTCTCTACTTGTCCAGGGCTACCAGCCTCCTAAACGGTCCTCCCTGTGTCTTGCTTGCCCTGGTCGCAGAACCCATGGGCTGCTGTAACAAGTGACCACAAACTGGGGAGCACCAAGCAACAGAAACGGATGATCTCCGCAGCCGTGGAAGCCTAGGGGTCAGCAGGGCTGCTCCCTGCGCCCCGCGCCCTTCTCTCTCTCCTAGATTCTGTCTGGCTTCCTTCTGCCTGTGGTTGCCAGGCAATCTGCGGCGTGCCCAGGCTGGCAGACGCCTCTCTCCAATCTCTTCCCCCCTCCTGACACGGCCTTCTGCCCGTGGACTTCTTGTTGAAGATACTACACACTGCACTGGAGATCTAGCGGGTCACGTCAGTCTCCCGGCTCCCCCCCGACCACCTCGCACCGCCTCCCTCGCGTTTCCTGTCCGGCCACTTTCCTCTTAGACACCACGGGTCGCCCCTGGTCCCTGGGACACGGCTCTTCATCTGCCTGGGGATGTCTTCGCGGCTCCCCTCTCATCACTACCTCACAGCAGCCTCGTGGACCAAACAACAACAGGGCTGCGAGGTCCGAGTCGCCTTCCCACACCAGTGTCCTCCGCGCAGGCCAACCCTGCAGGATTCCAGCCGAGGGACACAAAGTTGCCCCAGCCTGGGTTTGTCCTTTAACGGGCGGCCTCAGTCAGGGCCGCCGAGGACTCCCCGCCAGCAGGCACAACCCGCATCCAAGAGGCGGGACAGAAGCTTCGCGCGCCAAAGACAAAGTGCTCACCGGGCGGGCGCCCCGAGGGGAGGCGCCGGAGGAGGAAAGCAGCCGCAGGGCCGCTAAGAACTCGTCGGGGCCACCTCGCCGGACGCACCACTCGGGGGTTCGAGACACCGTCCACCCACTCCCCGGCGGCGGCCGCCTCCACGACTCACCGGCTCGCAGTGCCGCCGCTCGTCAGGCCGCGTCTCCGGGCGTTCAGTTCCCCACAGGCGACCGCATTCGATTCCTCCCCGCCACACGCACACGCACACGCCCCTCTCACACGCACAAATGTGAACTAGGGTGGTCGGCCACCAGAGCAGCCCGGACGGCGCTCCGGCTTCCGTAGGGAGGACGGCCCTCCCAGCCCCGGATGTTGATATTCCGCTGCCACCGGAAAGGGTGGCGGGCTGTCCGAGGGGGCGGGGGCGGCGTTGGCCGGTTCTCCGGAAGGAGACGTGGCGGCGGTTGGGCCCCCGGCTGCCCGGGCGCTCTCTCGTCCCGCCGCCTCCTCCTCCTCTCCGCTGAAGGCAGAGGGGGTTCGTGGCGGCGGCTGGAGAGAGCGGCGGCGGAGGATGGAGGCAGGAGGCGGCGGCGCGCGGAGCCTGGTCCCCGGCGGGCCGGTGTTACTGGTCCTCTGCGGCCTCCTGCAGGCGTCCGGCGGCGGCCGAGCGCTTCCCCCGCTCAGCGACGATATCCCTTTCCGAGTCAACTGGCCCGGCACCGAGTTCTCTCTGGTCAGTGCCTCCGCGAACCCTCGCAGCCATCTCTCCTCTTCCTGGCACTAAGGTTGCAGCCCCTATCCCACTCCGCAGGTTGTCTTTGCTTTTCTGTCCCCGCCTTTTCTCTCCCTCCCCCCCTAAAAAAGAAAAATGTCTCTGCAGGTGCTTCCCTTCTGCCACCCCACGCTGCCCCAGCCAAAGCTGCTTTTGCCCTGCGTTCGTTCATTCATTCACTGGGGCACATTGCACAGGTGGGCCCCTCACGCCAAGCACCTGGGCAGGCGGACGGTCTACCTGCTCTGCCCTCTTTAAATCCCGTCGCACTACACCGCCCTTCCCGACACTCCCACCGTGTGGCGGGAGCCCTTAGGGGAGCGCACCTCAGCCCTCGCTCCTCCAGCCGACTCCCCTGCCCTCACAGCCGGGCTGCACATCTTCCTCTCTCGAATTCACTCACCTTACACACACACTGCCCCAGGGGAGCTTTCGTACTTAAAAAAAAAAAAAGGTTCCAAAGAGAGCTGTTTGCCTTGTGACTTGGTAATGACCCTTACATTCAGAATATACAGTCTTGTTGTAGGACTGTTAGACCCAGAGAGTCTATGTGGGTTTCTTTTTCTTTTTTCTTTTTTTCTTTTTCCTTACACTACTAACGCATTTATAACCTCACGGCAATGAAAATTCTGTTCTAGTGGCGTCAACTGCTGAAAGATCTGGCTACCACGTATAGCCAATAAGATCATGATCTTACAGTAAGCGTAATTCATTTCTTTCCAAATTGAACTCCCAGAAGAAAAATATATATATAATTTTTCCAATTGTCTGCAGTCATTCCAGTTGGGAGATTATTTATTATATCATTCTGTTACTGCTTCATTGAGACATGAAGAAGTGACACCAAGATGTAAAAAGAGTAACCAGATTGTCATTTCCACATAGCTTTGTACGTGCACAGATGTTAATCTTTTGCTTGCATTGTGTTTCACACCTGTTTCGGTTCTCCACTGCTTGCCATGTTCTCTGTTCTGGTTGTTCAATGACTCTGTAGTTTATCTAGGTAAATATTTATCTGCAAGGTCAAGTTTACATTTGTATTAATGCCATTAAATACTGATAAACAACGGTGAAATACCTACATGCAATTTTTGTTAGAAAGTAAATATCATGTAAGCTGACTTGCGGTGAGTGAGAATATTTCGGATGAATATGATAAATATTGAGAGAATGTCATCATTAAATTTTTTTACTCTTGGACCTGTGTTGGTTTTTTTGTTTGTTTTATTTGTTTTAATTAAAACATGCTTGCATGCATCCCCAAAATCTAGCAGACTATTAGCGAATTACTAAAATTAGCTTTTTTTGGTTACTGTTCGCAGACTATAAGCAGATTACTGACATTGGCATTTTTGGTTACTACCAAATCCTAACGTAGTTTTCTTTCTGTCACCAGTGATTGTTAATAAGAGAAATGAATAAAGATTCCAGCCTTGTTAACCTTTCACTGATCTGTAAATTACATTTTGTAGGTTTGTATCTCATTACTTTTTTTTTAAAGATTTATTTATTTTTATTACAAAGTCAGATATACAGGAAGGAGGAGAGACAGAGAGGAAGATCTTCTGTCTGATGGTTCACTCCCTAAGTGAGCACAACGGCTAGGGCTGTGCCAATCTGAAGCTAGGAACCAGGAACCTCTTCCGGGTCTCCCACAGGGGTGCAGGGTCCCAAGGCTTTGGGCCGTCCTTGACTGCTTTCCCAGGCCACAAGCAGGGAGCTGGATGGGAAGTGGAGCTGCTGGAATTAGAACCGGCGCCCATATGGGATCCCGGGGCATTCAAGGCCAGGACTTTAGCCGCTAGGCCACGCCACCAGGTCCAGGTATCTCATTACTTTTATTTTGCAATAACTTAATCTAAAATACAAACACTTAATGATTTGGGGAGGAATTTTTTTATTTAAATAATTTTGAAAAAAAAAAACAATGTTTTTTGTGAATCAGCAAAAACCATCTATGGTCATCATGGAAAAGTCTTTTAATTTTTTTGTTTAAATACTTCTGTAATCTTACATCTGCTTTCAGAGTTTGACACCACTGTCCTCACCTGACAGTGCCATTTTTTCTTTTTTCTAATGATCCAGTTGGTTAGACTTTTATATAGAGCAGGTATATGAATTGGTAGGACAAGACCCTTTGTCTCTCTACCACCTGAAATTGCAAGACACTAGAAGATCTGGAATTTTTTTTTTTTTTTTTTACTTTAAAACTCTGCTCTAAATCATCTTCTTATACAGATATCTCAAAAAAATTGTAATCTCTTACAGTCTATTTTTCATTTATTCAAAAGAGTATTAAGAACCAAAACATTTTAGAGTGTAACAAGTTAATAATTCTGATATTCTTTCTTTGCCGCTTTTTAAAATCACTGTTTTGCTTTAGGGTGTATGTTTTCCTTCTGAAGTATCATCTCTGTGTCATTGAAGCAGTCAGTTACTCCTTCGGTTACAGAGTTGATGAATTCCACCAAGTTTAACCACAACATAAACTGAGTTTTATGTCTACTTCTGTTGCTACTAAAGACTATTCATACTAAAAACCATTACTAAGCAGTACACTTGGGAGGAATGCTAATTTCATTGTTTATAATGTATCAGTTACTTGTATAATGCCAGGTTGTATCACCAAGTCTGTTTTGCAGCCTCTCCAGAGACCATCTCATCTCTCATTTTCTAATAGTCTTAATTCCTGAAGGTAATAGCAAATATTGTGAATTTCACCTGTGCCTAAGACATTTCTTAAGTTCTTTAACCTGGTCCCCTACTCTCTCAGTGGGTGTTCACCTTAGCAGTTAGCATATATGTACTACACATAGGAATACCTACATTCAATTTCTGTGTAAGATTTATTTATGTGTATTGGAAAGTCAGATATATAGAGAGGAGAGACAGAGAGATCGTCCTTTTGCTGGTTCCCTCCCCAAACAGCCGCAACGGCTGGAGCTGAACTGAGCTGATCCAAAGCCAGGAGCTTCTTCTGAGTCTCCCACACAGTGCAGGGTCTCAAGGCTTTGGGTAATCCTCTACTGGTTTCCCAGACTGCAATGCAAGCAGGGCGCTTGATGGAAAGTGAAGCAGCTGGGATATGAACCGGCCCCCGATGGGATCCCAGCACGTGCAAAACGAGGATGCTCTGCTGGGCACTGGAATCAGTTTCTAACCCCAGCTTCCTGCCAGTTCAGGAAGGAAACAGTGATGGTTCAGGTAATTGGGTTTCTGACACTCAGGTGGGAGATACAGACTGTGTGCTTGAGTTCATCCTGGGCTTGGCCACAAAGGCATTTGGGGAATGAACCAGCAAATAGAGCTTGCTCTCTTGTGTGCTTACTCACTCACTCCTTTTAAATTAAAAAATAATCCCTTAATAGTTTTATGTTAAAATTTCATGTTAGGAGCAAAGATGCTGGAAAGGACAGGTACCTCTCAGGGTGCCAAGGTTCCATATCGGCGCAGGCACTGATTCCAGTGTCCTGCTAATGCATATTCCCTGAGGCAGCAGCTGAGTGCTGGGGGGACTTGAGTCTGTCACCCAAGTAGGAGTCCTAGATTTGATTCCCAGTTCTGCCTCAGCCTTTCTGGTATATGGGAAATGAACTGACAGTGGGCAGGGCTCTCTGTGTCCATCTGTACTTCTTACTCTCTGGATCCCTGCCTCTCAGTTTTAAAAAAGAATAATTTTTATATGAAATCATTAGTATCTCATAATGAAAATATCTTAGTTACAAGAAATTTTGTTCTGTATTTCTGCACATTCAGATTATTTTATTAACATAACAAAATCAGAAAAAGGCATTTTAGTAGGTCAAAAATATTTTAAAGAGAATTATTGTTTAAAGAGATATATTTAGGGAGTCACAGTTACACAGAGAAAGAGAAAGAGAGAGAAACAGATCTGTCATCCACTAATTCATTCCCCAGATGATTGCATTAGCCTGGGCTGGGCTAGTCTGAAGCCAAGAGCTTCTTCCATGTCTCCCACATGGGTAACAGGAGCCCCAAAACTTGGCCCATCTGGATGTTCCGAAGGCGTTAGCAAGGAGGTGGAATGGAAGTGTGGAGTAGATAAGACATGAACTGGAATTCATATGGGATACCAGCATCCCAGGCAGTGGCTTTACCCACTCTTCTACAACACTGGCCCCCAAAGTATTTAAACTTTAGAAGTCACAAAAGATTACTTTTTCCAGTGATTTTTATAAATTGTGTTAAATTGTATCTGTGATCCCTGTAAGTAGCTCACAATTTCACATAAAATTGTATTTGGTCTGTTTTATTGAAAGTCTTGGTTCAAGAAGTGACTTTGATGCAGGAGTTTCTCTTCTTTGCTGTGATTTTAGCAACTCATTTTTTCCTATCCTTAGTATTGTAGTGAACATCTTTAATTGAAATGTAACTTTTTACTTTTTTAAAAGATATTCTTATTTGAAAGGCAGAGTTAAAACAGAAAAGGGCCTGGCGTGATAGTGTAGTGGTTAAAATCCTTGCTTTGAACGCATCGGCAGCTCTGCTTCCCATCCAGCTCTCTGCTTGTGGCCTGGGAAAGCAGTCAAGGACGGCCCAAAGCCTTGGGACCCTGCACCTGTGTGGGAGACTTGAAAGAAAGTTCCTGGTTCCTGGCTTCAGATTGTATTAGCTCCAGCCATTGCCGTCACTTGGGGAGTGAACCATCAGACAGAAGATTTTCCTCTCTGTCTCTTCTCCTCTCTGTATATCTGCCTGTTCAATAAAAGAATCTTTAAAAAAAGAGAGAGACAAAGAGATCTTCTATCGGCTAGTTCAGTCCCCAGATGGCCAGAACTGGGCCAGTCCAGAGCCAGGAGCTTGTTCCAGGTCTCCCATGTGGGCGAAAGCACCCAGACGCTTGGGCCGTCTTCTGTTGCTTCCCCAGCCCATTGAAAGGAAGCTGGATTCGAAGTGGAACAGCTGGGACTTGAACTGGCACTCATATGGAATGCTATCACCACTGAGAGAGACTTAAAGTGCAATGCAATGATGCTGGCCCCTGTGGTAAACTTTGTAGTAAATGATGCTCTGGAACTCTACTTTTAACATCAAGAACTTGACGTTTAAATCATAAGCTACTGTCTGCCTTCACTACAGAATAGGAATTATTTGACAAGATTGCAGGCCAAATTCTTGGCACAACTCAGTACATGTTTCTATGAATATCTTCATGTTAAATTTGACCTCGGGTAACTGGATTCCTGCCAGTTGCTGGGCAATCTGAACTGAATCCCTCCCTCCCAGCTTCGCCTTACCTAAGTTGTTGCAGGCATCAGGGGAGTGAACCAGCAGTTAACAACTTGTTTTGTCTCTCTGCCTTTCCAAATAAAGTCAACTGCAATGGATTCTTATTTGTACACAGAAATTACTATTAGACTTAACAAGTAGGAGTGAGTGTTGTGGTGCAGCTGCTGATTAGAATGCCTGCCTGCTGTGTCATATTGCCAATTTGAGTTCCAGAAACAGCTTCCGAACCAGCTTCCTTCTAATACACCTGGGAGGGCAGCAGATGACAACGTGGGTACTTGTGTCTTGTCACCCATCTAGGAGATTGGGTAGGGTTCTAGGTTTCTTGCCCAGCCCTGATTGTTGAAGCCACCATGGCATGATCCAGCAGATGAAAGATTGTTTCTATCATGCATACACATACAGACTCTCTCCTTTTCAAATAAAGCTTTAAAGAAAACCAAGAAAAAAATAAGTATATCCCGTGATAGAATATCTTCATTGCCTCTTAATTGGTATTTTAGATATACTTTTGCATTATTACTATTTTTCTTATATTCCAAACCTTATTTTGCTTATTTTTTAAAATACGTTTGTAATGTCAGAAAAAAGTCTGTCTTGATTTTGTCATTAAAAAAAAAAAATTACTGGGGATAGCACAGTGGTTTAGCCTGTGGCACTGGTGTCCCATTTGGGCACCGGTTCATGTCTCAGCTGCTCCACTTCCCTTCCAGCTCCCTGCTTATGACCTGGGAAAGCAATAGAGGATGGCCCAAAGCCTTAGGACCCTGCACCCCATGTGGGAGATCCTGAAGAAGCTCTGGACTCCTGGCATCACACCTGCCCAGCTCTGACCATTGTAATGACCGGGGAATAAACCACAGTGTGGAAGATCTATCTCTTCTCTCTCTCATCTCCGGCCTTCAAGTAAAATAAATACATCTTTCTTTTAAAATAAATACATTGCAGAGAAGATTTAGAGTGGGTTGGAGTTGTGGCACCAAGAGCTAAACTGCAACCTGCGATAGCACTATCGCCTGTCAGAGTATACCATGTGAGTCCTGGTTGCTCTGCTTACAATCCAGCTCCCAGCTAATGTGATTGGTGGGGCAGAAGATTATGCCCCCAAGTTCTTGGTTTCTTGCCACCCACATGCGAAACAATGATTGCGTTCTGGCTCCTGGCTTCTGTTTGGACTAGCCAGCCCCAGCCATTGTGGTCATCTGTGGAGTGAACCAACAGATAGAAGATCTCTGTCTCTGTATCTCTGTCTCTGCCTTTCAAGTAAGTAAGAGGATTCTGAGAATTTATCTTAGTAAGAGATGACTTCAAAGAGATGATGGGGCAGGATGAAGGATATGCCAATTACCCTAATTGGATCATTACACAGTGTATACCTGAATCAAAACTTGACAATATATACAATTAGTGCATGCCAACCAAAATATTTACTAAAGAACAAAAACGTGCAGAATATTTTTCCCGCCTTTGAAAATACGTATTTTAAAAAATCTCTTAATAGTTTGAAGAGTTTTCTTCTTATCTAGGATTATATGATGATAACAGTTTAACTGAAGAAAGTAATATATATTTTTGTTGTTTTCTAGCCCACAACTGGAGTTTTATATAAAGAAGATAATTATGTCATCATGACAACTACACATAAAGAAAAATATAAATGTATACTTCCCCTTGTGACAAGTGGAGATGAGGTAAGTTTTTAGACCATGTTTGATAATTCCTTTCACTGAACAGTTTAACTACATGAATGAAAACAAAATTGAGTATCAGGTTTCTCAGTAACCTTGTTTTAGGTTGAAAGTATTAACTCATTATTCTTAAATTCTTTGATAAAATAGCATCCAATTATTAATTTTTTTGAGATCTGTTTATTTGAAAGGCAGTGTAAGAGGGAAAACCAGAAAGATCTTTCATCCACAGGTTCACTACTGAGGTGCCCACAGCAGCCAGGACTAGATCAGGGCAAAGTCTAGAACTTCATTTGACAGGAGCCCAAGTACTGGGGCTACTGCCTTCCTACACGCATTAGCTGAGGCTGGATTGAAATTAAAGTGGCCAGAACTGGAACTGACACTCCTATGTGGGGTGGTAGCATAATACACAATGCCTTAACCCACTGTACCACAAGGCCGCCATTCCCAATTATTAATATTGGGAATGAAAGTCAAATTGTAGGTTTGCTTTCTCTTATAAACATGAGGGTTTTAAAACAAAATACAGGGGGCCCGGTGTGGTGGCCTAATGGCGAAAATCCTTGCCTTGAAGCACCAGGATCCCATATGGCCACCAGCTTTAATCCTGGCAGCTCCACTTCCCATCCAGTTCCCTGCTTGTGGCCAGGGAAAGCAGTAGAGGACAGCCAAAAAGCCTTGGGACTCTGCTTCTATATCCAGGACCCAGAAGAAGATCCTCGCTCCATATTCATTCAGCTCCAGCCGTTGCAGCCACTTAAGGAGTGAACTAGCAAATGGAAGATCTTTCTCCCTGTCTCTCCTTCTCTCTATAAATCTGATCTGCCTTTCCAATAAGACTAAAATTTTTAAAATGTTTAAAGAATACAATTTTTAATATGACATTTTTATAGAGAATGAATTTTATTTAAAACACATAGAGAAAGAGATTTTCATCAGCTCATTCCCTCCCCACATGTCTACAACTGTTAGGGCTGGAGTAGACTAAAGCCAAAAGCCCAGAGCTCAGTGCAGGTCGCCCAGTGGCCGTGGCTCCCTTAGCACTTGCTGCTGCCTACCAGGATGCTTAGCAGCGGAAAGCTGAATCTCAAACCTAGGGATTCCGACTTAGCTTGTGTCATTTTTTTTCCTTAAAATAACCACATTTTATTCATCCTTCAAGGACATGACTTCTTTGAAGTTGATACAGGAAGGCAGCATGGACAAATGAAGGTGTCACCAGCCAAGAGGAGGCCATGGTGTAGGCTGCCATCAGCAATGGAACCTTGAGCTAATTTGAAACTCATTTTCCCTACTCAAAAATGTTACTAAGGCAATTGCATGTTTTCGTGATTGTAAAGTAGAAATATTAGACTTAGTGCTTAGGTTTTCTTCAGGTTTGAAATCTGAGATGATTATTTCATTTTGTTTTAAACTTTGATTAAAGTACACACACATAACCATATACCTTATGTGGTGTTTAAGTCTGAAAGATTTAAAAAACAAAGAAAATTGAAATGTACCTTAAAATTTCCCAATATATTCTAAAAGACTAAGCTGTTCTAAAGTTTTCGTAGTTTTAACTTCATTAGTTGAGAGCATTTTAAAATTCTGAAATGCATTTATAAGATTTGTTCAAGAAACTATTACCTAAAAACTTTTTAAGAGAAAATAGAAGGACCAACATTGTGGCATAATAGGCTAAGCCTCCACCTATGGCATCAGCATCTCACATGAACACCAGGTTGTGTCCTGGCTTCTCCACTTTTAACCTAGCACCTGCTTATGGCTGGGAAAGGAGTGCAGGGTGGCTCAAGGCTTTGCCCCGTACCCATGTGGGAGACACAGAAGAAGCACCTGTTCCTGACTTCACCTCAGCTCAGCTCTGGCAATTGTGGCCATTTGGGAAGTGAATCAGTGGTGGAGGAGCTCTCTCTCTGTCCTTTTCTCTGTAACTGTCTTTCAAATAAAAATTAATCTTTTTTTTAAGATTTATTTTATTTTCACTGGAAAGGCGGATATACAGAGAGGAGAGACAGAGAGGAAGATCTTCCGTCTGATAATTCACTCCCCAAGTGAGCACAACGGCCGATGCTATGCCGGTCCGAAGCCTGGAGCCTCTTCCGGGTCTCCCACACGGGTGCAGGGTCCCAAAGCTTTGGACCATCCTCGACTGCTTTCCTGGGCCACAGGCAGGGAGCTGGAAGGGAAGCGGGGCTGCCGGGATTAGAACCAGTGCCCATATGGGATCCCGGGCGTGCAAGGCGAGGACCTTAACCACTGCGCCATCGCACCAGGCCCTAAAAATTAATCTTTTAAAAAAGAGAGAGTGGAGGAAAGTAGAATGAGGACTATGCATGATTGTTCTGTGGCTTCATATTTTATACTTAAATTCATTTGAGAAAAGTGGGATACCATAACTTCTTGTTAAAAGTTTCGACTTTGTCCTCTTTTATTTCCAAGTATTTTGACTTGGCCAATGACTTATATTCAAACAGCACATTTGGTAAGTTCTCGAAAACTTGTGACCATTAAACTCCAGTTCTTTCTTAGGAAGAAGAAAAGGATTACAAAGGCCCTAATCCGCGAGAGCTTTTGGAACCACTATTTAAACAAAGCAGTTGTTCCTACAGAGTATGTATTTTATGTTTATTGAATAACTAGAAAATAACTTTCCAGCAGCCAGTACAACCTTGAACTTACTTTTGTATTTCTTCTGATTATGTTGAATAGCATTTTTAAGTTAGGAATTAAATGTAGGTTGCTGCTTCGTAGCATTTTGTTTATTTTGATATCTGTATTTTATATGCAACAGATACACACCATTTAACCTGCTCTGTTTTTCAATTCAAAACAAAGCTTCCTAACACAATATAATTTTATTTAAAGGTGTTAATTGTTATTTATGTTTATACAGACTTCAAAAATATTCTAGGCGTATTTCCTTCACAAAATTGTCACATACAAGTATGAATAAACAATACATTTCACATTTTCCTAAGGCATAATTGTGTCAGTTAATGAAAACTTACCCAAAATCTTAGGGACAATGTACTCAACTACTTAAAATACCAAAAATAATCCACCTAAATTATGTTGAAATGCGTCCATCTTTCTTAGATCGAGTCCTATTGGACTTATGAAGTATGTCATGGGAAACACATTCGGCAATACCATGAAGAAAAAGAAACTGGTCAGGTATGTTTTTTTTCTTCAAAATATAAAGTGAGGAGCATTGTAAGTTTAATAATGAGATTAATCATTGAAAATTGTATTCTTTAACATGTATTTATGTTGCATGAAAGGTGCCAGTACAAAGAAATGTTAAGGAGATGGGAACGCTATTGGACCTTAATTAGATCAGTATGGGTGGTGTATATGCATTGAAATATCACATTGTACTCTATAGTTATGTACAATTATTATGTTAATTAAGAAAAAATATATATATATGTTTGCAAAATACTCAATTTACTTTTTTTTTTAAATACAGAAAATAAATATCCATGAGTACTACCTGGGAAATATGTTGGCCAAGAACCTTCTGTCAGAGAAAGGTTAGTCTCTGTACAATAATTTGATGGTAATGCTGATGCGTTGTATATATGTTAAAATTGGAATTTAAGATAATTTCTTGGAGAGTGTCAGTTTTCAAACACTTAAATGGATTTCTTAACTGTCCCTTTGGGTTACAGTTAATAAAACCTTTAAAAAGGTTCATCTATTTATTTATTCAAAAGTCAGGGTTACAGAGAGAAAAGGAGAGACAGAAGGAGAGAGTACAAGATTTTCTGTCCACTGGTTCACTCCCCAGATGACCACAACTGCCAAGGGCAGGCCAGACCAAAGCCAGGAACTTCATCCAGTGATCCCCTCCCTGTGTGTGCTGGAGTCCTAGCGCTTGGCCCATCTTCTGCAGCTTTTCCCAAGCCATTGTCAGGGCAGCTGGGATTTGAATCATCACCCACATAGGATGGCAGCATTACAGGCTGCAGCTTAAACCACTGTGCCACAACACCTATGGCCAGTCCTAAGAAAAATCTTTTGAAGAAATCTGTTTTCATTCTTTTCTGCCTTGGAAAACATTAATTTTTTGTGCTACTATTACAGTTTTTAAACTCTGATAGAATATACATGTTAATGTCATATATTTATATAATTACTGTTCATGTTTGGTTTGAGCAAAGCTCTTATATATGAAAATAGATATATTGCTCATATGATGAAATAGTTTTATTAATCTGTATTGGTAGAACTAGCCAACTAATTTAAGATGAAACTTCTCTTAAGAAAAGTTTTTAGAAATCTCTTGAAAGAAATAAATTTTTAAGTCTCTTCAGAGAGAGTAAAAAAAAACTGCATTGATTACGACACTGGTAAGACATTGCATTGCACAGTGGGATACCTGAGTTCAGTTCCCAGCCGAACTCCTGGTTTCACCTCCTGCTGATCCCAGAAGTGTTAGGTTCCTGTGTAAGATCAAAATTGAGCTCCCTGTTCCTGGCTCTGGCCCAGTAACTGCAGGCTTTGGCAAATGCAGCATTATATGAGAGTTTCTCTTCTGTCTCTCTCTGTCTCCATCTCTGCTTTTCAAAGAAAGAAGAAAAAAAACATTTAAAACTTTGGAGGTGGACGTCTTGGCATGGTGTATTAAGTTACCACTTGAGACACCTGCATCCTGTATCAGCGTGTCTTGTGTGAGTCCTGACTGATGAGCTCCCAGTCCAGCTTCACGTTAAGGTGATCCTGGGAAGCAACAGGTCATGGCTCAGGTGATTGAGGCTGCTGGCTTCGGTCCGGTCCAGTGTTGGCTCTTAGGGGCATTTACAGAGCGGACCAGCACATGCAACAGGTTTCTCCCTCTCTTTGTGTGTCATTCTGCCTTTCAAATGAAAATAAACTTAACAAAAAAAAAAAGGAGAGATTTATTCATTTTTATTGGAAAGGCAGCTGTATAGAGAGAAGGAGACAGAGTGGATTTTCCATCTGCTGGTTCATTCCCCAAATGGCCGCAACAGCTGGAGCTGAGCCAATCCAAAGCCGGGAGCTGGGAGTCTCTTCCAGGTCGGCCACAAAGATGCAGGGTACCAAGGCTTTGGGCCATCCTCTACTGCTTTCCCAGGCCACAAGCAGGGAGCTGGATGGGAAGCAGAGCTGCCGACACAAACCAGTGCCCAGATAGGATCCTGGTGGTTGCATGGTGAGGCTTTAGCCACTAGGCCATCGTGCCAGGCCCAAAAATAAACTTTTAAGAACATTTCAAAAGAGAATGGTTGTGGCAAGGTTTTTTGCATGCAATAAAGTATTTCTAAGGGGAAAGATATAATGATAAAATTTGGTGTCCTTTGATACATAATCATTTTGAGGTTAGTGAGATACAATTATGTGTTTTGGTCTCCTTTATAGCTTTAAGGTTTAAAGGTAGTCAATAACTTATCCATTTGTGTCTGTCCCATGCATTTTTGGGGACTTTTCTTTTATTCCACAGAACGAGAAGCAGAGGAAAAGGAAAAGTCAAACGAGGCAAGTGCTAAATGTTGATTTTTTTAACTCAAAATTTATTGTTAATGAAGTATGAATTTATGCAACTTAATTGACAGGATATAGCTTTCTGTTCTTCATCTAAAACATCAAAGGATTGAGACAAAAATTTACAACGTATTCTTTCTGAAAAAAAAATGTTAAAATATGATCCTTCTATTTACTGTTAAAGTAACACCTGAATAAAAGGATATGTTGATGTGTGTCTGGAAGAGATCCTGGATAGCATTGTGCTTCTGTGCTTAGCAGTGATTTCTTCTGTTTGGTTTTGGAAAGAATTCTAGCAGCAGTTTTTACATTTTTCTCTTATCTGGTCCTGTTGATGAGACAGAGGAAGTGCATTGTAAATAAGAAGCCATCAGACTGCAAGCATCTTACAAGAAGGCACATTCATCTCTTCAGCTCATAGTATAGAACGCTCAGCAGTTCATAAATATATACTGAATAAGTGAATAAATAATAAACTAAGATAATTTTTTAGAAAGAAATGATTCCTTAAGAAGCCTAATCATAATTATTAAATACCTATGTAGTTCAAGGAGCACTCTCTGAATCCTATGACTTTCCAAACTTTATATAGTGTCTTGATAGAGAATATTTCATGATACTTTTCTTTAAAGGTGAAGTGAAATGGCAGAATCCTTAAAAATCGCTTAAAGGAACCCTTGTAACAATTGTAAAAGAGTGGCTTTGGGAGAACTTAAACTATATAGCATTGCTATTTTAAAAGATTTTAATTTTAAAGACTACCTTCAAGATAAAATATTTATTTACTGTGACTTGAAGGATAGCTAGATGGAACACAATGTATAAAATGACAAAGAAAGAGAAAGAAAAGGATAAGGGGAAAAACTAGCATTTCTTGAGCCCCAGTGTATAAGCCAGACACTGCCAGGTGTGTAGCAAAAGTTAATGTTTTATTCTACCAACAACCTGAGATTACTTATCATTCTGCTTGTATTAATGGCAAAAAAAAAAAAGATCAGTCATACTACTAAATTCAATTTGTCTTTAAACTTGGGATGTTTCTGATTTCATATGTGAGTATAAAAATAGTAAACCAGAAAATATCAAATTATCTTTTCCTGAAGCATTTATTTTTCACCTGTCATCGAGAGGGGACCAAAGTGGTAAGAGATTGCTGCCTCCAAAGAGCTTGCTCAGAGACATGATGAAACACATCTTTGTAAAATACTAACATTATATTTTTCTTGTGTTTGTTTAGACAAAAGTGTGGGAGTTAATTTCTTGATAATCAATGCCAGATCATGTTATTCCTCCATTCTTTGGAAATTTCTTAATTTGTCTTTTGCTGGCCTTGAATAGAATTTGATATGTAAGAGTTCAAAGTTCTATGGTGTTATTATTAATAACAAAGACCAAGCATATTGATAAAGCCAGTACTGTTTTTAGAAGATTAGAGTTATATTACATAGCCCCACTTTTTGACAAGTCAACCTTGAGGTTTGTAGACCTAAGACACTTATTTACTAAGAATTCAGGGAAGAATGCCCTAAAAAGTCCTGTTTAGTAAAGGCTTGGTATTTAGCCTTAGTTTCTTACATTAGAAATGTTGGGGAAATTTCATATTAATCATGATTTTAATAATCCTTTACAGAAATGTACATTAACTTAATTAAGTAGCAAGTAATAATTTTCCTTTGTATTAAAGAAGTTCTGAAAAGACCGACTGATATTTGCTCAAACTCAGGAATCTGTACTGGAAGAAGAGCTTAAATACACAAATGTTACCTTTCCACTTATAGATAAAATATAGTTCTCTTCCCTTCACAATAATAAGTGTTTCTCCCTTTCTAATAAAAAGTCTGTCTTACACTCTTTTTCTTTTTTAAGATTCCCACTAAAAATATCGAAGGTCAGATGACACCCTACTACCCAGTGGGAATGGGAAACGGTACACCTTGTAGCTTGAAACAGAACCGGCCCAGATCAAGTACTGTGATGTACATATGTCATCCTGAATCTAAGCATGAAATTCTCTCAGTAGCTGAAGTTACAACTTGTGAATATGAAGTTGTCATTTTGACACCACTCTTGTGCAGTCATCCTAAATATAGGTAGGATGTGCATTTAATATTTTAAACATGAAATGCACACATGCCTTGAAGTGTGCTATTCTCAGCTAGAATGTTTTGTTTTCCTGAATAGGTTCAGAGCATCTCCTGTGAATGACATATTTTGCCAGTCACTGCCAGGCTCGCCATTTAAGCCCCTCACTCTGAGACAGTTGGAGCAGCAGGAAGAAATATTAAGGGTGCCTTTTAGGAGAAGTAAAGAGGTATGAGTATTATTCATTGGAAATTTCTAAATGCTTCATTTTCCAAATTTCAAAGCATATATCAACATTTAAAATTTCTGTAGTATTGTAGTGGTTTATTTTATTGACTCAAATATTAAAATCTACTTCTCATTGTTTTTTATTCTTTTGTTTACTACTTCTCAGAAGCATATTAACATTCTTGTATACTCACAGCTTCATAATATCAGTTTCATAATATAATGCACATCTTGTACATTATAGTCAGTTACATTTTTACGTGGTTGATTCAGCTAAACCTTGTAAGACTACAGATCCATCTCCACTTCTTTATTCTTCACCTCACTGCTGTGCTTCCAGCCACTTCTCTGTACTGCTTCCCCTTTTGATGTAATGTCTTCCCACGTGTCTGCGGCAGGGACACCACCTGGCACAGTCCAACAGTCTCCTGCTCGTCATTGTTCCTGCTTCATGTTTGTAACCTCTCTAATGCCTTCAAGCACTCTGCTGGTCCCCGTTGACAAAATCTGAGTCCGTTTTGCTAGTTCTTTCCTTATACCTAGCCCTGATTGTTTTCTAAGACAATTAGTCTTCTACATGTTTTTTAAGCAGTACTGTCTGTAGTTCTAGAACTCATTATCTCCAAGTCCCAAAAACTGTTCTCACAAATCTCCTTTCTAGTCTTCCTTTGCAGCTGATAAAATGCTTTCTTTTAATGAACATTTGATTATGTATTTAATCCTTTGATAGTTAACATGTTCTACACCTCAAGATAAAAACCATTATTTATGCAATAAAAACCCATTTCTGATCTAGCTTCAGCATCATCTTCCATTGCCATTCCTTGTCTTTATTTGAGGAACAGATGGACAGAGCTCCCATGTACTGGCTTATTGTCCAGTGCCCACAACATCCAGTTCTTCCATGTGGGTGGCAAAGATCCAAATACCTGAGCCTCCCAGGCTGCTCATTAGCTGGAATCAGAGCCAGGGTCAATGTTGTGATATAGCAAGTTAGGCTGCTGCTTGTAGTTGCCAGCATTCCCATATTGGAGTGCCAGTTCAAGACTAAGCTATTCCATTTTGGAAGGGCAGGTATACAGAGAGAAGGAGAGATAGAAAGATTTTCCATCTGCTGGGTCACTCCCCAGGTGGCTGCAATGGTTGGAACTGAGCTGATCTGAATCAGGAGCTTCTTTCGGGTGTTCCACAAAGGTGCAGGGTCCCAAGGCTTTGGGACATCCTTGATTGCTTTCCCAGGACACAAGCAGAGAGCTGGAAGACAGGTGGAGCAGCCAGTATACAAACTGGTGCCCATATGGGATCTTGGCTCATGCAAAGTGAGGACTTTGGCCACTAGGCTACCACGCCCTGCCCAGCTATTCCACTTTGAATCCAACTTCCTGATCATGTGCCTAAGAAGTACGTGGTCCCTGCCACCCATGTGAGAAAACTAGACAGAGTTCCACGTTCCTCCAGTATGATTCAATATGATTCAGCCACAATTGTTGCTGCCATTTAGAGAGTAAACCACAGATAGAAGATGTCTTTTTATTCCCTCTGTCTGCCATTCTGCCTGTCACATAAATAAACAGATCTTTTAGAAAGAGAAAATAAGTACATGAAACCCAGTTACGACAATATGGAATGTGGGCATTCCATACCAGCATCCTAACTACCAAGCAAAATGCCCTGTGCCTTTCCCATCCCTTTAAAAAAGTGCATAGCTGTGAGGTTTGGCACAGCAATGTAGCAGGCTAATCCTCTGTCTGTGGCACCAGCATTCCATATTGGTGCCAGTTCACTTCCATCCAGCTCCCTACTAATTTCTTGGGAAAGCAGTAGAAGATGGCCCAAGCCCTTATACGCCTGCAGCCATGTGGAAGACCTGGAAGAAGCTCCTGGCTCCCACCTTCAGACTTGCCAGCCTCTAGCCATTTTGGCCAAATGAGGAGTGAATCAATGGATGGAAGATCTTCCTCTCTGTCGCTCCTCCTTTCTATATATCTGACTTTGCAATAAAAATAAAAATAAACCTTTTAAAAAAAGAATAATGAGAATATATGAAATAGAAGTTATCTATGTTCAGGATGGTCACTGTACTTCTTACTATAGTGGAAATATTTGTTTAAAGTTTTCTCTATAATGTTAAACATTCCAAAATCTTTAATTTATTTGTTTGTTTACATAGAGAGGTTTTATTTGTGTAGTGAACAAGTGAATGGAAAGGGAAAAGCACTTCCCCCAGGAGATCCAGAGTGATGGTCCTCTTGAAAGGAGAGAGGGAGAGACAACCACAGTCCATTTTGCAAGCATACATTAAGAACAGGAGGATAGTTTTTATTTTCAAAGTGTTCTGGTTTATACATAACTTGAGGCAAGTGTGTTGCCGCATGTTAACTCACCACTTGGGACCCCTGTACCCCATATCAGTGGCAGCTAACATGCTTTTGATCTAGCTCCCTGCTAATGCTCAGGGGAGACTGGATGACAGCCCAAGTGCTTAGATTCCTGACACACGGATGACACAGATGTAATTCCTGGCTCCTGGCTTCAGCCTGGCCTGGCCAGAGCTGCCATGGGCGCCTGGGGAGTGAATCAATCAGTAAATAGAAGATCTCCCTCTTCTCTCTCACACTCACTCACTCTCAAGTTAATCTACCTTCAAATTAATACGTAAATCCTTAAAAAAATAATAGTAACAATGGAAGCTAGATCTGGCAAAAAAAAAAAAAAAAAAAGATTAAGTGTGGCATGAAAGCCTTGAAACGTTTTCTGTTTAATTTTAGGAAGATCTGCAGTCAACTAAAGAAGAAAAATTTCCAGCAATCCACAAACCCATTGCTATTGGCTCTCAGCCAATGCTCACTGTCGGAACAACTCACATATCCAAGCTGACAGACGACCAGCTCATTAAAGAGTTCCTTAGTGGTTCTTACTGCTTTCATGGGGTAAGATGGAACTTTTTCATTTAAATATTTACTTTATCACTTATTTTACTCAATGGGTATTAGCCATACTGGAAAAAATTTTCTCTCTAGAGAAATGACAGATCCTGTCTTTCCCCATGGACATTTTTCTCTGCCTTCTTACACTACCACCTCTGTATACTCTAACCCATGGTCGCTGTGTTCTCCTCACTCACCGGGTAAAACTTGACCTTTTCTCTGGCAGTTGTCATGATTCTGGTTGATCACTGGTGTGGGCATCTGATTGCATAGCCTGTGTTTTCGCTATGTAACTATCACATTTAAAACTTAAGCTAATATCTCCCTTTACAGAGGTAAAATTTTGTCCCTGTTTATTGACACACTGACAAGTAGACTTGTCATTCCATTTTATTTTACCAAAGCAAGACAACAGCTTCTCTACCATTTTTTTTATTTCTCAGGAATTTAAATTTTCAACCATATAATTACGATGATCTATAATTACATATATTTTCATCCTGTCACATAGCAGTATTTAATCTGGCCCAAATTCCATTCTCTATGCATAACCTGATCTGTTTATTTCGTTTAGGGTGTTGGTTGGTGGAAATATGAATTCTGCTATGGAAAACATGTACATCAATATCATGAGGTATACAACAGCATTTATGTATTATTCTGTCACTAGGTAGATTAAAGTTCTCAAAATCTTTTGTGGAAAAGGAGGAAAGTTGGTATTACTTTCAATTATGAGATGATGTTCATATGGAATACAGTCAGGTAGGTGGTATTAAGCCTCTGCTTCAAATCCAACTTCCTGTTCATGTGCCTGGGAGTATCAGATAATGGCTCAGGTGCTTGGAAAACTCAATGGAGTTCCTGGTTCCTGTCTTTGGCCTGGTCCCAACCACAGCTCGCTCGCTCTCTCTCTCTCTCTCTGTGTCATACCACCTTTCAAATAAATAAAGTACATCTTAAAAATATTTAAAGAAAAAAAATGCTTCTCCGTTCCGTATCTGTTCAAGAACTTTCAGTCTAGTTGCTGATAAAATGTTTACTATCTTTTTCTCCCATTAAACAAAAAGTGCCACTTGGGTAGTGGCCTTGCCTGTTTGATTTATCATTCAGGGGTTTTATTTCTAGTGAGGCGTATATTTGTGACCAACATGGTTGTCTAGCTTTAAATATGAAAGAAGGAAAGGATGGCAGACGAAGAGGTAGAAAGGGGTGAAAGGGAGAAAGTGCACATATAAGATAGTGTGGTTAGTATTTGATTTCTTGGCAGAGTGCGTGTGTGTGTGTGTGTGTGTGTGTGTGTGTGTGTGTGTGTATATATGTATATACACACATATACATATATACATATACACACACCTACACATTTGGTACAAGGAGAACTTTAATCTGCTGGTCACTCCCTAAATGAGTGCAGCATCTGGACCTGGGGGCCAAGGCCCAGATCAGGTACCCCATGTGAGCAGCAGAACCCCAAACACTACCATCATCATTGCCTACCAGCATTTGGATTAACAGGACACTGAAGTCAGGAACGGAGCTGCGTGTCAAACCCAGGCACTCCTGTATGAGATTTAGGTGTGTTAACCAGGCTCCTAATTATTAGGCTAAATGCTGGCCCTCACCAGAAAGTTCTAAAATGAAAGTAAGCATGGAGGGGTGGGGTGGGGGGAATCCAGCATGTTAGTCTAGTGGCTAAAGTCCTCACCCTGCATGGGCCAGGATCTCATATGGGCACCAGTTCATGTCCTGGCTGCTTTACTTTTCATCCAGCTTCCTGCTTATGGCCTGAGAAGGCAGTGGAGGACAGCCCAAGGCCTCGGGACCCTGTACCTGGCTCCTGGCTTAGATCGCCTCAGCTCCCCTTGGCTGTTGTAGCAATTTGGGGAGTGAATCAACGAATGCAAGATCTTTCTCTCTGTGTCTCCTTCTCTCTGTAAATCTATGTTTGCAATGAAAATAAATAAACAAAAATTTTTTTTAAAGTAAGCATGGGATCAAAAAAGCAGTATTAAAATCACTTGAAGTTTTTCATCTGAAAAGAGCAGAGAAGATAGGCAGCCAAGCATAGTCAGCCCCATTTTGTATTGCTATGGCAGAACACCACAGATGGTAATTTGTAATCTAATGCAGCATGTGGTAGAGGCTGCCCCACTGTGTTATCCTATAGGGGAGGAGGAGAGGGCGTAAGAGATTAAACACACAGTCTCAGGCCCTCGGAAAGTCAGCAGCAGTCAACTCCAGAACAGGAGCCTTCCTAGGCTGAACACCTCCCATGAGGTCCTGCTTATGCTCCCGTCGCATGCTTTTGGGAGTGACACATTCACACCGTAGCAGAGATACAGGCCAGCTATTTAACTGAGAATCATAGTGATATATGGTTGTATTATCTAGATTATCAAAGAGAGACTCAATTGGCAGTTGAGTGTACTGAAAATACAAGTAAAATTGTTTTTTTGTTTTGTTTTTATTTTTTTTTATTGATTACATTGCATTATGTGACACAGTTTTCTAGGCACTGGGATTCCCCCCACCCCTCTTCATTCCCCACCCCCCCATGGTGGATTCCTCCACCGGTACAAGTAAAATTGTGTGTCAAGTAAAAAAGATCTCCAGGAAAGAATTGACACAACTTACAGATGTAAGAGAGAAAAGAAGTAGAAATAGTAGTCAGAAATAATCTATAGCCAGACTGACTAGAAGTGAGTTGCTTTATTTGGAAAAGCACAAATGGAGAAAATAATGAATTGAAGTATCTACTTGTTGAACGTAACTAACATCATTATGCGGAAATGTAGATAGTAAGTATACAGATGAAAATAAAAGCTATGGCTTCTCAGAGGGTCAGGAAAACAGCACAAATGCCTGTTGGTGGTGTCACACATACATTATCACAGATGATTTTTTTCATGATTTAGGACAAGGATAGTGGGAAAACCTCTGTGGTTGTGGGGACATGGAACCAAGAAGAGCACATTGAATGGGCCAAGAAGAATACTGCCAGAGCCTACCACCTTCAGGACGACGGCACCCAGACCGTCAGGTAACAGTGAGCTTCATCTGTCTCTGGATTTGATGAGTAAAGTATTTAATACTTAGAATTTAAACACTTAAACCTGTATAGAACTCCCCCCACCTCCCAACTAGGGACATCTTTCAGATTAGTTTTCTGGGGCAGACAGCGTGATCTAACAAGTAAAAGCATTTTATGGAATCAGGCTGCTTGGACTCAAATGCTGGCTCTTTGCTTATTACAAATTACATGTTTTTTAAGCCTCACTTTACTGGTTGGTATTTGTGTCCCAGGATTCTGCTCACATTTAAATGACACAGTTCGTGGGCAGGATAGTATCTTGCAATGGTATGCAGTTAACTTTGCTTCTCTAACCATGGTTGTAGTACGTTGCTGAGAATGGCAATGGTGTTGGTAGCAAAAGCTCAGTTCTCTCACAGCCAAAGCCATCTTAAGCATTGGCCTCTTTCATGTGTAACCTTGACCTTTATACTTTAGTTAAGTGTTAAATACAGTTGGGCATTTCTCTTTGCTACTTAGCCTTTGTGTTGTTATGCTTAAAAATAGTTGGACAGGGCCCAGTGCGGTAGCGTAGCGGTTAAAGTCCTCACCTTGAACACACCGGGATCCCATATGGTCGCCGGTTCTAATCCAGGCAGCCCTGCTTCCCATCCAGCTCCTGCTTGTGACCTGGGAAAGCAGTCGAGGACAACCCAAAGCTTTGGCAACCTGCACCTGTGTGGGAGACCGGGAAGAGCTCCTGGCTCCTGGCTTTGGATTGGCGCAGCTCCAGCCATGGTGGCCACCTGGGGAGTGAACCATCAGAAGGAAGATCTCCCTCTCTGTCTCTCCTCCTCTCTGTATATCTGCCTTTCCAATAAAATAATTTTTTTAAGAAAATTAGTTGGACAATAGCTTATTTTGTTTTATCTTTTTCAAAAATTGATTTATTGAAGAGGCACAGTTCACAGAGAGGGACAGAGAGAGAAGGAGATCTTCCACTCGCTGGTCCCTCACCCCCCACCCATGGCCACAACAGCCAAGGCTGCGTCAGACCCAAGGCAGGAGCCAGGGACTGCATCTCTCACTTGAGCGGCAATGGCCTAAGTACTTGGACCACCTTCTGCTGCTTCCATAGGCCATTAGCAGCAGGGAGCTGGATCAGAAGTAGAGCAGCCAGGACCTGAGCCAGCACTCATGTGGAATGCCAGCAGCCTTACCTTCTGTGCCACAATGCCAACTCCAATAGTAAGCTTTTTTTTTAAAGATTTATTTTTATTATTTTTTCATTGGAAAGGCGGAAATAAAGAGAGGAGAGACAGAGAGGAAGATCTTCCGTCCGATGATTCACTCCCCAAGTGAGCACAACGGGCCGATACTATGCCGATCCGAAGCCAGGAGCCTCTTCCTGGTCTCCCACGCAGGTGCAGGGTCCCAAAGCTTTGGGCCGTCCTCGACTGCTTTCCCGGGCCACAACAGTAAGCTTTTTTAAAAAATTACTTTGGGCAGTGCCTTGGCATAGTTAACCAAGCCTCCACCTGTGGTACCTTCCATCCCATTTGGACACCAGTTTGTGTCCCAACTCGGTCCACCTCTGAACCAACTCCCTGCTTGCAGCTTGGGAAAGCAGCAGAGCACGGCCCCTGCGCCCACATAGGAGCCCTGGAAGATGCTGCTGGCTTCAGATCAGCTCAAGCCCAGTCTTTGTGGCCACTGGGGAGTAAGCCATTAGATGGGAGAGCTCTGTCTCCCTCACCACCCTCGCTGCCCCACCTCTCCTTCTCTCTGTACTCTGCCTTTCAAATAAAAATTAAACTTTTTTTTTTTTTGAAAAATGACTTTACCTTTCTTTGGGCCCATATGGGTTTCTTTTGTTATAACAAAATTAAACCAATCTCACTTCTCAGATACTCTCTTGCCCTGTGAATTTTAAATTATTCATTCCTTTCAGTGTTAATTTTGAGCTTCCAAAGACAGACGGTATTGAGATTGTTTTCAGCATGTGCTGACTTTTCTGAAATTTAACAAAATTAAAAGAAAGATATGAGCCCAGCACAGTAGCCTGGTAGCTAAAGTCCTCTCCTTGCATGTTCCGGGATCCCATTTGGGCCAGTACATGTCCTGGCTGCTCCACTTCCCTTCCAGCTCCCTGCTTGTGGCCTGAGACAGCAGTCAAGGACGCCCCAAAGCCTTGGGACCCTGCACCTGTGTGGGGGACCCAGAAGAAGCTCCTGGTTCCTGGCTTTGGACCAGCTCAACTTTCTCAGCTCCAGCTATTGAGGCCACATGAGAAGTGAACCACCAGATGGAAGATCTTTCTCTCTTTCTCTCCTCTCTGTAAATCTGGTTTTCCAATAAAAACAAGTAAATCTTAAAAAAAAAAAAAAAATAGGCATTTACATTTACAATAAGCAGAATGATTTCTTTTTTTTTTTTTTTTAATTTGTTGGAAAAGCAGAGAGGGAAACGTGACTCTCCCTGGTTCGCTGCCCACGTGTCTGAAAGCAGTGTGTCTCCCACGTGGCTGGCAGAGACCAAATCCGGAGCCCATCACTGGCTGCCCACCACCGAGGTGCACACGTGAGCAGGAACCTCAGTCAGAACTGCAGCTGGGCCTGGGACCCAATCACTGCCATGTGGATACAGCGCCCCCAGGTGGTGACTTACCTGCTGAGCTCAGCATCTATCCTCAGGCTGGTTTTTCTGACACTTGTGCAAGGCAGTATCAAAAAGTTCATGGAAAATGGAAGTTAAACACTAATGTATATACATATTCTCCATGAACTTTTTAAAGCCCCAAAGTTTATATGTCGTATGAAAACAGTTTATAGCATCATATGCAATAATGCTAAAGCGTAAAAATATGAGACCAACAGAATTAAAACTTTTAATACTGTTCATTTGAGATTTATAGTTTGACCTAGATTTTGAATTTTGTATTTCTACAGCACATTATTGTAATGACATTAACTTGAAGGAGGACAAAACAGAATTACTGTATGAAACAAGCAATGTATGTGACTGTGGCAACAAATAACTTTGAAACAACTTTTTGTAACTATTTGTATGCAAATAAATAATATGCTAGTTGAAGTCATTATTATTAATTTTAAGCCAGTAGAAAATATCTTTTAACTAATACTCTATAGAATCTTTAAGACTCTTTCACATATAACCTAAAATACATTTTTATGAAAGAATATATTTTGAAAGAACTTTTGAGAAAATATCTTTTTTAAGGTTTATTTTTGCTTATTTGAAAGGCAGAGTTGCAGAGGAGGAGAGAAAGATCTTCTATCCCCTCGTTCACTTCCCAGATGGCCAGAGTGGCAGGGCTGGGCCAGGCCGAAGCCAGGAGCCCTGAGCTTCCTCCAGATCTCCCACAGGGCTGCAGGAGCCCAAACACTTGGACTATCCTTTGCTGCTTTCCCAGGCACACTAGCAGTGACGTTATTTTAGATTAGTATAATAAGGCTTGTGTGTTTCTCTTCATCAGGATGGTGTCCCATTTTTATGGGAATGGAGACATTTGTGATATAACTGACAAGCCAAGACAGGTGACAGTAAAGCTAAAGTAAGTGAACCCTCGTGTCATGCAATATGCCTTTCTGTTTTACCTGTTTCCTGTGGGCCAAATAAATTAATTATGAATAAGTGTCAAGTGAATTATTAAATTATACAAAGCCTAAATGTATAGGATTTTTATAGTTTAAGAGGAAAATTATTGGAAGTAATCTTACTTTGTATGATCTGGGCAATCCCTTACAAGTGTGTCTTTTAGGTGTAAAGAGTCTGATTCTCCTCACGCCGTTACTGTATATATGCTAGAGCCGCACTCTTGTCAGTATATTCTTGGGGTAAGTTAAAAAATGTTGTTTTTGTCCAAACTTAAAATTTTAGCGTTATATCTAGAAGGGATTGTCAGTAATCTTTCCTCTACAACTTAATAGAACTCCCATCCCACTTTTGTAATGGCTAACATGTTTTTATTGGTGTGTAATTTATATAAATTAAAATGAACAAATCTTAAATGTTGAGTTTAATGGATATTAATAACTTTATATCCCTGTGTAACTGTCACCCAAAACAGAGTATCTGGCTCACATTTCTCTTTGCAAACACTCCTTACCCCCTCACAATCTACAAAACAGTATCACCCTGTTTTTGGATGCCATACAAATGAAAAGATACTATACATAGTTCTTGCCTGGCCTTTTTGACTCAGTTTTGAGACTCAACCATGTTGTTGCATGCGTCAGTGCTTCATTTTGTTTTTATTGCTCATTTATATTTTTATATGAGTATACTAAATATGCTTTTCTATTTATCTGGATGTTTGTTTCAGAGTATTCTGAATAGGCTAAACTACAATTTTTTTAAGCATTTTTGTTTTGCTTGTATGTTTTCATTTCTCTTGGACAAATGAATAGGAAAACTGCTGAGTCACAGAACTTTTGCCTTGAGTTCTGCAAAGTAGTGGTACCATTCTGCATTGCCTGTAGCGCTGTGTGAGCATGCAAGACACCAGGCTTCCACACCCAGCATTTGATCATACATGTGGTCAGTGAAAAGCCAAGTGACAGAAATGGAAGCACTGACAAAAAGATGTTCAAGCCACTCTGCAACTGGCTACACTTTTTTTTATTTACTTTTATGGCAATATTATCCTAAGAAATTTTTAGTATTCCAAGTCATGAAAATATTCTCCTGCATTTCTTTCTAGAGACTTTGTGGTCCTGCCTTGGATGGCCCAGGCCTAAATGTGATTTCTCTGTTCATGCAGCTTGGAACTCAGTGAGCTTCTTGGTTTTGAGGGTTCAAAATTTAATTTCAGCAATTATCAAAGATTGTCTTCTGCCCCATGTTTCTCATCTTCATTTCTGAGACTCCAGTTAATCCTATTACATTGAAATTGTCTCTCAACCTAAGATTATTTTATTCACAACTTTTTTCCTTTGTTCCAGTTGGGTAACATGTTAATTGTCTCCAGATATACTGATTATTTTCCATTCTGTGCTCATTCCATTGAATGAATTAATCTCATATTTTTCATCTGCAATATTTCTATTCGATTCTTATGTGTTTCTTTTATCTGCTGAAATTCCTATCTAATCTCTTATTTTTTTAATTTCTTTATAAAAAATACTTATTTTTATTAGATTTACAAAGAGAAGGATAGACAGAGAAAAAGATCTTCCATTGCAGGTCCCTGTGACTCTTCCTTTCAAATAAATTAAATAAATCTTTATGATAAATAAATAAAGTATACATCAAAGACATTAAGTGAAGGAGTTCCATTTCACACCTATCTGATATTTCTTATCAGTGAAAAAATGTTATTTAGAAAGCTTTGAGTTTGTAGAAATTATGTTAGGTGGTAGATCCAAAACAAGGACTCATACATACTCAGCAGATGTCTTCATCGAACAGTAAGGATTCAACTTAACAATTTCTTAATGACTTGTGCTTTTTTTTAGGTTGAATCTCCAGTGATCTGTAAAATCTTAGATACAGCAGATGAAAATGGACTTCTTTCTCTTCCCAACTGAAGGCTATGAACACTGGGGGAACCGGATCATTGCGAGTCAAGATGGTCTCTGTCTGACCATATGGCTCATAGAGTTCTAAGCCATTGGACCTCATCTGAAGGATCATATAAAAGGACTCTCAACCACTTTGTGAATGTATATGTGTATATAAGAGGTTATTGATAAACTAAGGCTACATTTTTCTCACCTTTTTTCATCTTTTGTTGTGTGTTTTGAACTGTTTTTTTTTCTTTGCTTGAATAATGTGATTCTGAAATAAATCTTATCCAAGCAATATGGAGTCCAGCCTATTCAGATGTCATAATTGTTGTATCTATTGAAAGCTATTAAAGATTTATTATGTAAACTATATGACTAGGTAATGAAGTAAAGATAATGAAGAAAGATGTTGAAAGAAGGTTATTTAAATGAGAAACCATGTAAAATGTATAAATTACAGTGCCTGAAATCCTGTCAGCCACGTTTCATCCAGCAGCTACTCTCTGGCAGTCACTAAACTAGAAAACTGGGCACAAAGTAAAACTTGACAGGGAGGTTTCTTGGCCCGGAATAATCTCAAGAGATCCTTATTTAATAGGCTCTTTCCCTTCTGAACCTTGGCTTGTTTCTTTCTCCTTCTCGCAGAGTGTGTATCTGGTGTGGGCAGTTGGTGACCCTCTGATTCAGAATGATTTGCTCTGGTGAAACACGCTGTGCTGGACAGCCATTGTACTTAATACTGTATACTACAGATTTTAGTTCTGGACAGTTTTACAGTACAATATTTATTTTCAAGTGAATAAAATGTTCATAAATACTGTTGTCATGTAGTTAATTGATTAAACACATTACTCAATTGATTGGTTTTATCCATTATCCCATTAGAAATCTTTTGAACATATATTATTTAAACAAAGAAAAACGGCTATTAAATACTTCACTTTTCCTCCTTTCAGTAGTTCAGGCCAAAGATATTTTAGTTGAAGAGAAACTTAACGTATTTGACTAATATTTTAGGTTTACTTGTAAATGGTACTAGGAAGCAGGTGTTATGAAGAGCATACACTCTGAAGTTTGACCTACATCCAAGTCTTTCTCAGCGTAATACGTAAGACATAGGAAAAGCCAAACTCTTCCACACACCACACAGCACAGAGCATTTTATTTATTGAACCCTCCCTCGGGTTCAGTAATTTGCTAAGACAATTCACAGAGCACACCGAGACACTTTACTTAGACATTTACCAATTTGTTGCAAAGAACATAACTGAAGAACAGTCAGGTGGTAGAGCTGCATTAGATACTGAGGAGCTGGCAACAGAGTGTCCAGGCCGCAGGCACGCTATCCTCCCAGCATGCCCCTGTGTTCCCTAACCCAGGAGTTCAACAAATCTAAAAACTCAGGAGATTTTATAGTTTTACCTCTAGATGCCCCTCCTTCCCAGAGGTCAGTGAGTGGGGCCTGAAGTCCCCAAGCACTTGGTCTTTCATAAATAGGGCTGTGAGCCAGAGGAACATTGCAAGGAACAAAACCCACTCTCCTTTCAGGAAAGGATCCTGTGTCAGGGTCTTTACTGCGCCATATGCTAGCCATGTGTGCCTGGGCAGCTCGGTGACTGTCTTGAGCCTCGTTTCCTCATGTGGAGACAGTTTCACAGGTTGGTTGTATCAGCATCTTCATTTTGAGTATAAAAAAGCCAAGCCCTGTACTTGCTGCCTGCTGCCTGATGAGCTTTAACTAATTTTCTAATATTGCCCTTCTCTTAGCAATGTAAAGGTGGCAGTCATTCAAGTTAATTTCATTAATGAATTATAGAATCACTTATTACATTAAAACAACAGGATTACATTCATATTTTAGATCACAGGTTAGAGAAATTGGAATTATGAAAATTTAGTGCCAGGAGACACCAAGAATATTTTGGCCACACTATCCTTGGGTAGGAAAGCATATTTTTGAAAACCATACTGTCTCATGGATGAATGTTTTTCCTCCTCTTTTTCCCTCCCCATCCCCTACTATGCCATAGTATAATCTCTTAGTAATGGTTTAACTTTCTGCTATTTAACCCCAGATGATTCTTAAAAATAGAAGTCAAATTGCAGAATGGAGGGCCCGGCACAATAGCGTAATGGTTAAGGTCCTCACCTTGAGCATGCCAGGATCCCATATGGACGCTGCTTCTACTCCCGGCAGCTCCACTTCCCATCCAGCTCCTGCTTGTGACCCGGGAAAGCAGTCGAGGGCAGTCCAAAGCTTTGTGACCCTGCACCTGCTTGGGAGACCGGAAAAGAAGTTCCTGGCGCCTGGCTTCAGATCGGAGCAGCACCGGCCGTTGCGGTCACTTGGGGAGTGAATCATCAGATGGAAGATCTTTCTCTCTGTCTCGCCTCCTCTCTGTACATCTGCCTTTCCAATAAAATGAATAAATCTCGTTTTTTAATTGCAAAATGGAAAGATTTTATAAAAGCTACCCTTCTGTCCAGGCTAGCAGAGCCCCAGCTTCTCAGAGTTGGGGCTAACCCAGGTATCCTCATTCCCCTTTCAAATCGGTAGTCCATTAATTTCACTTGACCTCCCAATTTGCTGCTACCATTCTTCTATATAAACAGTGAATTCCTAGTAGGGCAAAGAGATGGCTCAATTACAAAATACCCAAAGGTACATGGAGAAGACCTTCAAGTGAAGGCCTACAGTGGGTACTACCCCTGCCCACTAAATCAAATTCTTTGAAGATAGGACATAGGATTTTCATTTTTAATAAATTTACCAAGTAAATTTAAGTAAATTCTCCAGTGGCTGAAAATCACTGACGTAGCGACTTCACTTTCAGTAATTTAACATAATACTATATCTTCCAGTCTCCAGACTGGGGATTCAGGAAAATAATCAGCCTGACCTTGACAAGGCTGTGACAAGGTTGTGGTTCCGCCCTTTCAGTTTTACTTGCTTTTCTTGAAGGTACCACTAGATGGAGCTCCGAGTCCAGCCCTAGTTTGTATTCTTGGTTAAAGGGAAGCTGGCAACAAACCGGGTGAAAACTGAATGGAGTACTTCCCAGTACTTTTTAAAATCAGTCTAATTTACTAGAGATTGGCCTAGTTTCTAACAATGCACAAATTCCCTGATATATAATGAGGCCAAAGTGTTGACTCAACAGCTCCAAAGAGCCAGCATAAAATGCTTTAAAGAAAGACCAGAATGAAGATTTGGATTTTGAAATAGTAGGGTTCACATGGCAACAAACACCAGCCTTTTAAACCTTATTTCAGACACTGTTCCAGTTTCGGATACTTTCACTTGCCAGCACTTATATTTTCATAGAAATCCAACATAAACATGATGTTTCAACACAATAAACTATAGGGATAAAAAGTTTCCAAGTATGTCACCACGCATTTTAGTTTATTTTTATCAGAAGTAACTTTTTTATCTTTCTACTTTGTATGTCATGATACCTTCAAATTTTGAAAAGTTAAATTTGATATTGTGAGGTCAGTGAGTATTCTATTGAAACATTTTGGGAGTAAATAAAGGAGGGAGTTGAGAGGAAGAAGGGAAGGGGTGGAGAATGAATGCCTATGCTTCTAAATATGCTTTTGTGACAATGTGAAATCTACTCATTTTATATGAATTTAAAATAAAAAGGACAAGAAAAAGCAAAATATGTTGCCATGGTGACATGGATTAAGAGAAAGTCCATTTATCAATTCTTTCCACTTGTTTAGCAGAGGTGGCAGAGTGGTTTATCCCATATTAATATTTTCAAAAGTGGATTGTACAAACATGCAAAATATAGTGTGTTGTAGAAGGGAAATAATACAAATTCTACTAATTATCAAAGCAGACGTAAGCCTCACTAAGATTACATTTTGGAATGAACACCAATACAACCATTCAGAAATCACAAATTTTCAGGTCATAAACACAAAACATCCCGTCAGAAGTGTGGGCACCACAGGCGTGGAGGAGTGGATACACGGAGGAGCAGATGCTTTACATTTACCATTTACATCATTGTCAGTTAGCTAAACGAATGTATCACTTATTCTTCAGAAAATGTAACTGTCCCTTTAATTACTGGCTTCAAGACCAAGGCAGAAACCAATCTATGCCATAGATTACTTGTAAAGATTTATTTTAGTTTATTTTTATTGGAAACTGAGATATACAGAGAGGAGGAGAGGCAGAGAGGAAGATCCTCCATCCATTGATTACTCCCCAAGTGGCCGCAATGGCCCTAGCTGTGCGGATCCTAACCCAGGATTCCGGAGCTTCTTTCGGGTCTCCCGTGTGGATGCAGGGTCCCAGGGTTTTGGGCCATGCTCAACTGCTTTCCAAGGCCACAAGCAGGGAGCTGGGTGGGAAGCAGGGCTGCCAGGATTAGAACCAGCACCCACATGGGATCCCAGTGTGTGCAAGCCTACCGCGCCGGCTCCATGGCATAGATTTTTTTCAAAGGATATTTTCACTAACCAAGGCTTCAATCACTGAGATCTTGCTATCTTGTAACACTTGTCTTAGAAATAGCAAAGTCAGGCCAGGGATGCTTGTTGCTTAGTGAGGTAAGCCTCTGCATGCAACGCTGTCATCCCAACTACTCCACTTTCAATACAGCTCGCTACTAATGTGCCTAAGAAAGCAGTAGAACATGGCCCTAGAAGCTTCCATCTGCAATGCAGGGATCCCATGCGAGCACCAGTTCAAATCCTGGCTACCGTGCTTCCAATTCAGCTCCCTTGTTTGGCCCAGGAAAGCAGTGGACAGTGGAGGCTGGCTCATACTTGGGCTGCTGCAGCCACATGGGAGATGGAGAGGAAACTCCTGAATCCCAGTTTTGGACCGTCAGCTCCAGCCATTGCAGCATTTTAGGGAATGAACCAAAGAAAGGAAGATCTGTTTCTCTTTCTTTCTCTCTCTGTAACTCTACAATTCCAGTACAAAAAAACAAAAACAAAATAAAACTTTCTTTTAAAAAAAGATTTATTTATTTTTTTAAAAGATTATTTAGTTTTTACTACGATGTCAGAAATACAGAGAGGAGGAGAGACAGAGGAAGAACTTCCATCCGATGATTCACTCCCCAAGTGACTGCAATCGCAATCAGTGCTGCGCCAATCCGGAGCTGGGAACCAGGAACCTCTTCCAGGTCTCACACATGGGTGCAGGGTCACAAAGCTTTGGACTGTCCTTGACTGCTTTCCCAGGCCACAAGCAGGGAGCTGGATGGGAAGTGGAGCTGCCGGGATTAGAACCTGCTGGGGTCCATGCAGTAGGTGTGAATAACATGAAGGTGTAAGGAGAACAGTT